GCATTTCGACGTTCTCGTCCTGGTTCAACAGGCAAGAATTCATATGGGCACGGTGATCTTTTCCATCTATGAAACCAAGAAGGCAGTGAATACTGAGGATTCCTTCAACTTGGAAGACCAATTTAGGTTGAGGGACCATCAAGTTTCGCCGAAACATATTATTAGGCAGGACAAAAGACGTAGCGGAAGATGATATATTGAGCAGGATCAGACATCTGTCAATCGATGCTCTGATACTTTGACAAGTTGTCATAGCATTTGTATATTATTATTGAACTCTACCTTTATAAGATGGAAGTCGAATTACAAGAAAAAAGTAAGTGTTGGCATAAGTTTGATCAAATCAAATAACTTAGTTGTTTAAACACGTTATTTTTGTCAAAATTCATTGTCAGAAGGTACATTACATTTATGATGAGATATACACAAGGAAACTTTAAATACACAGTTTAGAGAAAATAAGGTATATGCAGAGAAATTCCTAGAATTAATCCTTAGGTGTAATCTTCAATCATTGAGGCTGCTTTTCTTATTTGAAGAGGCTCAATTGTTAAGTCTTCAATCGTAGAGTTGTTGACACTAGAAACGTAACATTTGTTAGTCTAACATTGTCTAACTAAAATAAGAATGTGTTTTTGTATCCGTAATATAATAGTTTTTTTTCTATTTGTAATGAGACTTTTAGAATCCTACGTTGATTATAAACTAAAATCTTCTCCTTTTATATCTATATTAAAGTCTTTCCGCTAGTATTTTATTTTTTTCAATTTGTAAGATAGTTATTAATTATCGACTTGGGATTCTTCGTAGTCTCATCCAATTGTCCTTGAGGCATTTTTGTACACAAAAATTGTAAACCTACTATTTTTGTTTTTCTTCTCCTCTTTCTAGGTTGTTCAAATTGTAGAATTTGACGGGTGTGACGAAGTTTAAAATATCATTTTTCCCACAGTACTTGAGGTTTGGATACATGAGAGATTCTATATGATTGTACAACATTTTCATATAGTGACATCTCATAACGTTTTTTTTCATTTTGAGAGTTTCTATGTAATTTTCTATGTATCTTCTCCATCTTAATATTTTTATTGCTTTCATATAAATTCTTTGAACAAGGATCATGTGGACAAATTGAAAAATTGGTCTCAATTCTCAACGAATGGTGTCAAAATGACAGGCCGTTCGGAGTGTTGAAATACAAAAAAGATATGTCAATGTCGGAGAAGTTTGATGAGAGAATCAATATTTGGCTTGTGGCAAATGCAAGACAATTTTCATTTAGTTTGGATTGCACAAGGATTTAAAATTTTTTTAAATCTATATTATCGACAGACATGGATAATCTTAACATGTCAAGAAAAAATATTCAAAAGTTAAGAGTAGATTCGATTAATAGTTCAAAGTAAATAAATGGAGACATTGAAGTTGTTTAGCTAGTGGCGTCTCTTTTCTCTATGAAAAATCACAATATTCTTAGGGGGATAATATGTTTATCCTAAAGGCATGCCTTTGGCCAATAAATTGTCATGATAGAGGATGTGTTATTGCTAGCAAATCCACAAATTTGCATACGTGCATTAGTTTGGCATTGATTCAGGGTGTAATGGAATTTATGTTACAATAAGTTTTCAGTAACGATGTTCGACATGAGCCAATGAAATTCTTAATTTTATATACTCGTTATTGTGGAGTTCGATAGTTCTCTATCTTGAATTTTTGTCTGTAAAAGAAAAGTTTCATCGAAATTTCTCAAACGCGACCAAGAGGGTGAAAGAAACGAGACTAGAGTGGAGTTACATTATTCAATTTGGAAGAAATATGGAAGAAATCCAATTTGGAGACCTTGGACAATTCAAAGTCAAGGTGGAAAATATTAGAATTTTTAATATTTTGAAAGAAAATTTAAAAAATTTGGAGATTTAGACAACCTAACTTGCCTAGAGCTTGAGCCGACTTTGTTGTCCGCATTTGTCATACAATCTCAAAAGAAAACATACAAAAGTTAACATGACCTGATTGACTTCGGAAGCATTTGATATCATTGTATATTTGTTTTCGAAAAATACAAAGATAATGCGTAACGAGTCCCACATAATGTATGGATAAAACATAGATAATAAATTGTGGATTCAATAAATGTATGAATAAAAGTATATTTGATCAACTTAAATTATAATTTAAATTTTAACAACCATGCGTTTAGCACATGTTCAATATTTACCCTATTATTTTAAAACCCTTTAATTTCCATGCTCATTTTCAACTACACATTTACATAATAAAATATTTTACACATAAATCTAAAATTTGTCCATACTTTTTAATCATTCATTTTTCAAAAAACCACTATTCAAAACTCAATTTTTTTAAAAAAATAATGATTGTAAATAGGGACTAAAATTGATTGATTTTCTAAATACCTTTCATCACCACATAAAAGAACACAATTTCATTTATTCATTTGACATTTTTGTCAACGGTTTGATGATATTTAAAATTTGATGCGGTCGGCATACACCGCTCGACAACTTTAGGGTTTGTTTAAGCCCCATCATTTGAAAGAATATATTTTGTAATAATAATTTTCTGAAGAATATGTAATTAGGATGATTTTTTTGAATTTATGTGTAAAATTATTTTATTAAAAAAATGTAATTGAAAATAAGTTTGAAAAAAAAAAAGTTTTCAAAGAACTTGCCTCAAATAGGGGGCTTAATAAATTGAAAAGTGTAAGTTATTTGAGTGCACATGTTGGTAAAAGTTAAAGATGACCTAATTTGCAACCTTAAGAAAAAGGTGAAGAGAGAGAAGAAGAAACCTATTACGAGGATCACTTACGTAGAAAGTTAGGGATCACAAAATTTGACATTCATGCAAAGTGGTTATCTTTAAATAGGGTTGTCCGTGGGCCGATTCGATTCAGTTATGAAGAGACTCGAACTTACCAAAAACTTTCGGGTATTTAATAAATGGACTCGTCGGATCCAAATATAATTATGGAACCGTTCGGATTTGGTTCGGTTCGGGTCGGTTCGGTTCCGTTCGGTTCTGTATCATAATTAAATTTTTTAATATTTAATTTCAGTTCTTATTTGATTCTTCGGTTCTTGGTCTAAACCCGAGACCCGACCCAAACCCAAACCCATCGGTTCTCGATTCGGGTACCTGTTTGGGTATTTAATTTATGAAGAACCACTCGATTCGGTTCGGTCCGGTTCGGTTCGAGACTTTTGGACATCCCTATCTTTAAATATACTAGATTATTTTGGCCATTACTGAAAAAGAAAAGTAGTGGACGTCTTTTTATGTTACACAATCTAAAATATCTTTAAAAGTATCAAAATATTCCTGAAATATTTATATAACGGATATTAGTAGCTTGTTTGGTATGAATTTTTTGGAAAGAATTGATTTTGAATAGTGATATGATGGGAAATGTGTGGTTGAAAAAGAAAAAAAAATTATTGATATGATGGAAAATATTATTAAAATGAAAAATGTGTGGTTGAAAATGAGAATTGATTTATTGTAGGAAAATGAGAATCTCTACTAAACAAGCCATAGATATCAATCAGTGATATAAGCACTTAACTGTCGTAAAAGAACGAGGTGACATTCCCAAGATTAGTAGATGGCCTGAGATCATTCCACGAATGTTTGGTATAGTTATTGCAATCGATAGAGTCGATCATTAATTTGAACTTGAACTTTTAATAGGCGACAAAAGGATAGTATTAGTTCCATTAAATCAAAAAAATTATATACAGTATGTTCGTTTGCACACATACATTCCTCATCAATATAAGAATTTCAAATCGAACCTCATTTCGAAAAGATAATTATTAATTATAGAATAATTTTACTTGTATATCAAAAAATGTACATAAGGGTGTACACCCTCCTCACATGGGGGTGAGACCCGCTTGAATAAAAAAATATTTTATACAAGTGGGTCTCACCCCCATGTGAGAAGATGTACCCCCTGTGTAAATGGTGATGTACCACTGGCAAAATCTTTAATTATATAAGTGAAAAATAATAAAAAGCATAAAATAACAATTTAAGGCATACACCTCTTGCCTAGGGTGCAGTTTGAATCATCCCTATAACGCGTGGCAACCCACGGTGTGCAGATGCGGGTAATACACAGACAATAGATCGAACAGGTGGTCTGTGTATACGTATTTTCACAATTTATTTTGCATTTTAATAACATTAAATATTTTTACTACAGTTTCATCTCCCTGCACGGCTGCCTTTTCTTCTCTTTTGGATTTATGATTCTCCAGTATATGTACGGTAAGCAATTTATCTTATTATTTATGTGATTTTTGTTTCTGTCAATTTCATTTAATTAATATACATGTTTTGCCTTTTGTTTCTGATACTTTACTTTTTATTTGAAATAGATCTAGGGGTTCGATGTCCTCTGATTATATTTTGTCTGTTTATGCTTATGTTCTTACCATAGTGGGTGGAAAAAAGTTTAATTGACTTGAATTAAGTTTTATTTTTGTGTTGTTATGTGAATTTGTAGCTTTAAATTTGTCTTATGGTGGTGCCTGATTGTTTCAATTATACGTCTTGAAAACCCTAACGCTGTTTGTACTTATTATTCTGGTTTAACCTTTCCCACTCCAATTCGGTTAGTTTATTTAGACTGTAATATAACTCCGGGAAATTGAAGTGCTATTGTAGGTTTGTGAAAACAGCAAATATAATATATGAATACTCAGATTAGGTTTGTGAAACTTCAATTGGCAATTGATTCCGGACTTGTCTTGCTAATCTGTACCTTCTAGGATACAGTTTCTTATGATTAGTTATTTCAAATATCAATTACTGGATTGAAAATATTCATTTAACATATTCTTAATTTCTCTTTCAAGCCAACCAATTTTCGCCTTGAAGTCTGTTGATTAACTGAAGAAGTGTTGTGTGACACCCGGGGAGCTGCAATGGCATGAAGTTCTAGTATCTATGATGATAATATAGTGCAAATGGAGTCACAAGTTCCTACTGACTGTGAGGCATGCATCCAACATGAGAATCTTGGAAGTAAGGATGGGAATTCTAGTGAACCCTCCTCCTCACAAGATAACATCTCTCCACAGCAGCCAGGTATCTTTTTGTCTGGTTAGTTGTGCAAGAATTGTTGAAATAATTGTTAGGGACTCATCCCATACAAATCTTATTTGTTTCTATGCAGTGAAAAAGCGACCACGGCAATGGGCTGCTTGGACTCGTCAGGAGGAAGAAAGCTTTTTCACTGCACTGCGTCAAGTTGGCAAGGCAATTTTCTGTTCCTTATTCACTGACGTTTGTTTGGGAGTTCTCTATAGATATTATTTCTGACCATGGAAATGCTTATTTTCTCCACCAGAATTTTGAGAAAATCACTTGCCACGTCCAAAGTAAAAACAAGGATCAGGTGATTTCCCATTACACTAGATTCTGACCTCATACTCATCTATTCCATTTTTAAACTTTAATTTTTTCCTTCTGATTATAATTTCTTTTTGGTATTGAATTTTGTAGGTCAGACACTATTACTATCGGCTTGTGAGGCGCATGAATAAGTTGCTGGGTCCAGAACTTTGTCTTGATGCAAAAAACTCGAAAGATACCAATGCTGCAATGCTACGATGGTAAATATTAACTTTCTATTAATTTTTTCCTTCAGTATTTATTTTATTTTTACCTACAACCGACTCACTAATACATATTTCATTTAGTTCTGGTGTTACCTACTTATCTAGAAGACACATTATTAGAGACACACTCCTTGAGCTTTATGACTATATGAAAGACATCCGCACGTTTAAAAAATCACTTGAACATCCCCTATTTCTAGTTTGAGTATCATATTCACTCCCTAAACACCTTTGAGCCTCATCTCATCTAAAATGAGGCTGAGATACCTTTAATATCCTTGTGTTTAATTACAATTCAAACTTGTTCCCTTTAGTAATAAGTTAATACTTAAAGACTTTGTGTGCACACGATTCTTTGCATATGGATATTAGTGAAAATTTCAACTTAAATTTGTTGTAGAATTTGGTAATAAATGATTTAAATTTTTTTTTTTTAATTATATTATGTATACATAATTTAAATATTAACAAATGCAAAACTATGAATAAAATTCATAGCTACAAATCCATAAACTAAAAAAAGATGTTAAATATAAACATTTTCTTTTGAAGTACAATTTTGCTAAAAAAAAATAAAAAATAGTAGATGTTAGTTCACTCTCAAAAGTTATAAAATAGAATGCCAAGTTAATCCAATAAATTAATCATTAGAAGAATATCATAGTACCCCGTTTGGTCATTCGACATCTAATTTTACTTGTAAATAGCTATTTTGTTAAAATAATACTCTATACGTATGTATATAATATATCTTAACATATATATTGAGAAAAGTAATCACTTGCAAACTAAATAAGTAAATTTATACATTAAAATATAAAATATGTCAAACGAGCTCTGTATATAACATGTCAATTTATATTCTTATATAAATACGTAAATTTAAACTATGTCAAACAAACATTTATATAACATGTCAATTTATATTCTTATACTTACTACGAGCAAATTAATTACAATTATCATTTTTAGTTCACAAGGGCATATTAGGTATCTAAATATCGCTCAAAAAGTTGTTAAGGTACTAAAAACTAGAAATAGCGGAGGTTAGTGTGATTTTCTAAACTTAAGGGGGTGTCTATGACATTTTCATAAAGCTTGGGGATGTCTTTGATATTGTCTCTATCTAGAGACCTAAACAATATTAGTAATTGAGTGGAAATAGATTTACTCTATTGAGGAAATATTTTTTCTTCATTGGTCGTGAACAATATCGTACATGATGAATGCCATCTTACATTTCTGTTTTGACGTAATATAATGAAGAGAAATTAAATGACTTCACATAGTTTAGTGGCCACGGATTAGCCGGTCAAATGAATGATACTTGTTAACTGACGATGAAGAGTCTTTATTGCCTTGCCCCTTACACGTGTCTATGTTTGCTTAATGGGATTTTATCATTATTATCTTATCATTTTATATATTTATTTGTTTCCCCTCTTGTTTTGGTGAAGCGGGCTTGGGGGAAGGGGTGGAACGGGGAGGCAGCTTATTTTAGCCTAATGGTTATGAATATTTCTTCTCACTTGATATTTTTTTCTCTGTTTTATCTGAAATTTTCAATCTCTTAAATGCTGTATATTGGTTCTAGGTGGTCATTATTGGAAAAATACAGCTGTAAGGCATCAAAGCTTCACTTGAAACCTCGAAGATTTAAGATATTTGTAGAGGCTCTGGTTAGTTTAACACTTAACACATTCTCACTTTGATGATAAATTTTATCTGAGACATGATTGCGTTGGCATCTTAATATTATTTAACCATGCAGGAGAACCAACTCTTGAAAGACCGCAAAAAGAATGTAAGGAAACGGCTCTCTCCTGGAGAAAACAACTGCTCTACAGCTCCAATTACTGTCTCAAATCTGGGCAGGCCATCGAGTCATGATAGTCGTGCAGTGAAATTGGTTCTTGTTGACAGCCAAAACATGCAAAAAGTTGGAACAGGCAAAGGATCTTCTGTAAAGCGCAATGTAAATAATATAGGAACTGATCGTACTAACAGCAAAGTAGATTCATCCTCTCTGAAAACAGCAAAACATCGTCGGAAATCAGGTGATATTCAAGTCAAGTATTGAATACCTCGTTGCAATTACTATTATTGTTGCTGTTTGTATTTGTTATTGGTATTCTTTATGCCTTTTGATTTGATTATTGTTGTTTTAGTTCTGATAGCACACACTTAATTTAAATTGTTCATTCATATATTTTGTTTAATTTTGAGAATTTCTTAATGTGCTATGCTATCTTATTTAGAACTATTCTAATGGTTTCTTTATATTCAACTGTAAGGCCCATTTGCAAATGTGGCAATTTTGAGATTTCTTAATTAGGCCATTCTCTTATTTAAACCATTCTACGGTGTTATTTTTTGTAAGAATATTTACAAGCCCTATTTGCAAACATGGCTATTCTGGGACATTTGGCACGTTTTTTATAGTTGGTGGTGTTGACAGCCTATCATTGGTGAGAAGTCTTTCTTTGGTTCTACATTCTAATGGAGTGTGTCTCTGATTGAATACTCTGACACCGGAGTGCTGTTCCTTGTGATTAAATATAAAATAGACCATGGATAATCATTTGTCATTTCTAGTGTTAGTTGAGCTTGAAAGTCGTGCATGGTATTCCGAACTGGATTCTTATGTTCCTATATGATGATAACTCCCTTACAAGACGAGCTTTCAGTTTCTTCTGATTAACATGCAAGTCCTGTTACCTAGCTTGATTCTTATATGTGGGCTTCTGCTTTTGTTCTTACTGAATGACTGAAGGTTTCTTGCAAGAATTTAACACCTAGATTTTTCTCTCTCTCCCCCCTTTTTTTTAAACCTGAATAATGTTTCTCTGGCTGTCGCTGAATGTATGACAGGTTCTTCAACCGCTGCATATAAAAGATGGGAGAAGGCAGCAATTGCCGGCGTTTCGCTGGTGGCTGATGCTGCTGAACATCTGGAGCGGACAATCACCGAGAAAGAGGTTGCACAAGAAGTTGAATTTGTCCACGAAACACGAGGTGAATGGTGAAGATTTTTTTTCTAAACTTTGTTGAGTCAGGACTGATGGTCGTGAATTTTTTGAAAATTAATTTATTCATGATACGCTACTTGTCTACTTTTCAGCGAGTGGTGGTTCCCAGCCTGTTAGAAAAGTGGAGCTCTCTTTGCCAATGTCATCACAAAGTCATAGCAATGAATACAATGCACAAAACTCTATGAAACTTAAGCTCCAGCTGTTCCCAATTGATGACTGCACTCGGAAATCCTTGGAAGCGGTATGTCAAGCCTGGGTTGGTTTTTTGTTGCTGTTGCAATATTTGGAAGTTATACTGAAAGTTCAATTTTAGAATAATGAAGGAAATTCAGATGTTTATTTGTTATTGCAGGACAATTATAATCCCCATCTGGAGCTCACTTTGGGAACACGAAAGAAGATATCATCTGTATTGGATCACCTCAACCGCAAATGGGGAAATTCAAACTTATTATCTGGAGATTTAATGCTTTTCCCTTACTGGGCACACTCTGAAAACCTGGTGGGGTGTCAGAAGTGGACTAAGGACTCTCCACTCTGTGCAGCAGATGTATATGCAAGAGTTGGAAGCCCTCCAGTTTTCCGCCTCAGGTTCTTTTTTACCTGTTTTCTTTCTTCTTTCTGAAGAATGATGTTTACAGAATAAACCTAATATAAGGTTCTATTTCTTGTTAAAGATATGGTTGGTTTTCAAAAGCTGAGCTCGAATCTGCAACACCTCAAGCATTGCAGTCATATGCTGATGTTAGTGAGAAAAATAACATCAATATAATGAAAAAGCATGACATTGAGTCTGCGCCGACATCAAGTCCAACTTATAAAAAATCTGGGAACCCAAGATGGGGTACTTGTCAAGAACTGTTAGCTTCTACAGATAAGATGAATTCTATGACTCCCTCTTCAACATTTGTTTCGAAGGATGAGATAATCAAGTGTGGTAGATCGGATCCCGACATTAATAGTTCAAGTTACATCGAGAGTACTCCAGCTGTTTCAATAGTCAGAAGGGAGACCGGAGCTCTAGCTGATAGAAGACAAGTTGAAAACATGGTATTTTTTTCCAACTTTCGTTTCTTTGTTACTTAAAACAATAGATTTATCTATGCAAGACTGAATTCATATAATTGAACTGTTGAATTTATAGGTGCACATTAAGTTGATGAAGTTTTATATTTGACCCACAGTGTTTGAGATAATATCAAATATTTTTGGTAGTTCAATATTACATTTCTCATCAGGTGTGTTTATATGATCATAAACATAGAATGTTACCCTGATTGGGCCCGGCCCCTGCAGGCGGAGAAGACAAATTTAATTTCGTTTCCTTGTACATTTTTCTTCCATTTCCATATTAGTGAAAACAGCATTTTAAGAATACCTTATTTACCCGAACCCATGCATTTGATTTTGGAAATCTCAAGATCCTTTAGATGTTGATTCAAGGCCTAGATTTAAATTAACCACCATAATATGTGGTGTAAAGCAACAACTTGTGCACTGCTCTCTCACTGTACACACATAGATCAATGCATATTCGTTTATTTATGTATGTCTAAACAATTGCTGAAAGCCTCGTCTCAACTAATCTCATTTAGAAATTTAAAGCATAATTCTGTTATTTGAGTAATGGATTTCAATCTTTGTAATCCCCACGAAGTACATAAAATAGATTAAAATTGGTTCCACATACTTGGGAACAACTAACACTGAGATTGTTGTTTACTAGCCTGTAGAATACAAAATTGACATTGATGAATTCTTTCCTTGAGTTTCATGTTACCTAAGCACGCTACAATCAGATTAAACATCTGACGAATAGTGCCCATGCCTTGTTTTTCCGCCTGTCATTCTAAATTATCCTTTTGCTTTGCATCTAGGATGATCGGAGCATGCAGAAGGATTTGGTACTTTCAGCTGGGGAGTGGGCTGATAGTCTTACCTGTATAAGTGTGGGGGATCTACTTTCTGACTCGATACTCAACGTGGATGCCAACTGTGCTGAGTTACCTTCACCTGTTGGCTCTAACTCTCTGCAGCAGATCCCATTCAGTTGTGACTCTTTTGACGCCGCAATTGCTGCTCACATATACAAACATCAAAACAAAGTCGGTTCTCAGCTGGGTCTTGCTCCTGACGCACCTTCCATTTGGGATGCTGAAGAAACATGTGATGCCTTTGCATTCCAAAAGAGTGGTGCTTTCTGTGAAAAAGTTGACAGTGATGTCAGGAATGCTTCTCTAGAGACCTTTAAACAAATTAATAGGACGAGTTCTTCAGTATCCCACAATGCAGTTGAGGTCTGATATCAAAATAACTGTTTATTGAGATTTATCTCAAAGAGAGAGTTATTGGTCACACTATTTTTTTCATTTCTTTTAGGAGTTGCCTGAAGACAAGAAATCAAATAATGATGATCCTATATATGGAGAGCCAATGGACACTTTAGAGAATTCTGCAAAGGATTTTAGTGGACTAACTGAAACATATTGGGTAATCTTTTCCTTGAAATACCATTTTATCTTTTCTTTTCAGGTGATATTTCTCCTCATTGTTTCAAAATCATGCTTCTTTCCGCCAAGGAGCAACTTAATTTTCATTACTTTCAGCATATCCTTTTTTTTTTTTTTTCACTTGGGACATGTTCTCATTCTTTCTTTTCCATGTTGCAGCCTGACTCGTTAGGACCATTAGATTTGGATATACCCTCTTGTAGATTGCATAGTGATGATATAATTCTTAGTGATAGCATTGGTGGTTTGAACCGATTCCTAGCGAACAGTCTGGATGCATTTCAGAATTGCTCGTTCTTTGGCTTGGACAAGAAAGAATCTGCATCCGCAGTTGAGGCTCACCAAACAGCTCCCGTTTCAGATTTCAAAATCAGCAGTTAAGTTTAATATTAACCAGAGAGCCCATATATGAAATACTTTAGACAGTGGAGTCTGAGCATTGTCGTGTAAATCTTGGCTGGAATGATGCAGTTTGGTTTTCTATGGATCACCACAGAGGAGATATTAGCATTTTCGAAAGCAGAAAGCTATGCTTCAAGAAGAAAGCGCTAATGTGCTGTCAAAGTAGACTACAAAATTTCCTGTCCGTTAGATTTTATGCGGGCTCCTGATACTGCTGACATATCCCTGTATATTTGTTTTAACTGACTGATGCTAATGTGATAATGTGCAGATACCCGTTGATTTGAAATATAAATAATTGAATTGAAATTGGTTTACTTTGGGCATTTTTGGGAAAAACTACAGTTGGTAATTCGAGTCTTTGCAAAATATAGCACTTAGGTTTGCATTTAATTTTTTTTCGAGGCTTTTATGTTCTAGTCTTTGTGCAAGAATAATGTTATTTGACTTTAGTTTAGATGGCACTAACTAATAGATTCAACTAAATAGGGAGCTTTTCAGGAGGTTCCACTATAAAGAGCATCTTATAACAAAAAATATCTTTAAATTTAGAAGGAAATTTTTTACATTATGAAGAGTTAGTTGTTATCTAAGAATTTAATTATTATCTAGATTTAATTATTGCTTGAAATACGAATTGTAAGGCAATGAAGTGGAATTTGAATTGTTGAGATTTCTCAAATTCTCGTATTTGATATTTAAAAATCAACGAGCCCAATTCTCTCTATTCGTGCGCAGAAATTAAGAAGTGATCTTGTGCCGGTATTCGTTTGATACCAATTGATGTAGTGATGCAAAAGTGACAAAATGTTGAACAAACATGTTATCAAAGTGTTGCTGATTCCAAATGAATATTGGAACACGATCACCATATGCATCGAAGTTCAACAATTACAATTCTCTTAGACAGGAACAAAATAACAGCTGCTAGCAAAAAAAAAATTCCAAAACTACAGTATATAAGCTCCAAATAAGAGTTTATGGCATATATACTGTAAGAATGAAACAAAACTTGTTTGATCATTTGCATGTTTATATATCCTGCCTTTTATCATGAATTTTTGCCTTCAAATCTTTAATGAATTGACCAATATTTTCCTCCGATGATCCATCTATTGCCAAAGCATTCTGCAGTATGGTTCTTAATTTCTTGATCTCCATGCTTAATCTGTCCGAAACTGTTCCACTAATCAAAGTGTCAATCTTCTCTGCAACTTCTTCCCTGGTAACTGATTCTCCATCACAAAGATTAATTCCAATCTTCCAATCGTCAACTACTAATTTCCTATTAGTAGGTTGATCATTTGATAATGGATAGCAAATCATAGGTATACCACACCATATGCTTTCCAATATCGAATTCCATCCACAATGCGTCAAGAATCCTCCAATGGCTGGGTGCGAAAGCACCATATTTTGATTGCACCACTGAACAATCAACCCTTGATCTCGGATTTGGTCCAAGAATCCAACGGGCAAATCATCAGTATCATTAGAGCTCACAATATCCCTTTTAACCACCCAAATAAAACTAACTTTTCTAAGGAGAAGTCCATGAGCTATTTTTTGGATTGTCTGCTTACTAGTCAGATCATAGCTACCGAATGACAAGTACAAAACTGAACTGGAAGGCTTCGAGTCCAGCCACATTTTAGTGTCCGTTTGAGGCCATAAATACTGAGAAATGGCTGGCTTGTCGGAATCAGGTGAAAAATTTATAGGGCCAATTGCTAAGTTGGTTGCTTTTGCTGTAGAGCTGATATTGTCTCTTCTAGTTCTTGAACAGTGTTTAGTAAAATAAAGTCCGCTTTCTTCACTTGGTCATCAAATGTTTTCATCACAATCTTTTGCGGCAACGAATCTAGGGAAGATTCTTTAAGGTATGGCATCAAGTCCCTTGTATTCATCAAAGAAACTCCGGGTATGTAATTTATATTCTCCTCAATATTGTCTGAAAATCAAGAATATTACATCAAAATGGTGATCTTGTCGAGGGGATAAGTATACACTATAACTAAGCTCCCTACAGCCAAGCAATAAAAGTTACGGGGCGAGAGGAAGAAAGAAGATGTACCTTTACAAGGAAAATGACAATTTTCTCTAAGAAGGTCCAAGTGATAAGCTATAGAATTAGAAAAGACTAATGCTGGTTCTGTCCAGAATGATACATTCACGAGGTTATACTTCCTGGTAATTGTTGCAGGCCAAGTATAAAAAGTATCGGCAATAAGAAAATAAGCCGACCGTGGATTAGACCAGATTATTTTGGGGAAATTATAATAATTCAGGTGTTTAAAGATTGAAATTCAAAATTCAGGGACCAAGTTTTATTATTCAAAAATCAGGTGATATAAAAACTCTAAACCCTAATTTTTCACTCCTTCCGCTTCCCCTTCCCCTCGCCCACCCCCTCTCTCTCTC